AATAAAATTTTTAAATAAAATTTTTTATTTAAAAATTTTATTTTTTTAATTTTTTTATTAGAAATGAAGAAATATATTGAATAATAAGAAAGTACAGTAAAAACTTCATCACATGGCATATAGCCTAAAGCATGAGAGCCTAACAAGCAGAAACAGAAGCATGACCTATAGCCTAGTAACATATTTAAACTATGCCAATGACGAATATAGACAATTAAGTAAAGAGAGTCATTTGCAACTAGAGATTGCAACAAACAGTCCCCAACCCACAAGTTGCCGCCCTATCTATTCATTGAGGAATAATCAACAAGAAGGGGCATGGTCCTCCATCCAAGCCCAAGCACCTCCCTCGGCTCCATGAGCTCCCAACCATGACCCTAATTGTTCCAATCCTCTTTAATCCCATGTGGCCGAAAGTCATTAAGGGAACGAGAGCCCCTTTAACGATTGGAATAGTGTTCTCCCCCCGTAAAACACCATCAGCTTTCCCAACCACCATCCTTTCCTCCTGTTTTCGACCGAAAAACCCAATCCATCTCCAATGACAGCCACTTGGATCGACAATTACAAGAGCTTTCTTAGGGTTCTAGGAAGCCGTTAAAACATTTTGGAGGCCATTAAGGTTAATCCTTCGTCGGGATAGCAATTTCCAAACCACCCGTAACTTTTTCACTTTAGCATCATCCTGTTTTCGAGACATATGCAGTGGGAGGATCTCGGCTTTGTTCTCTGCTATTCGGATCCGGCGGACCATAAAACCCAGGTCATCTTCCACCATCATTGGGATGCTATAGCAATGGGGAAACAAGATGAATCTGCAGAGATCTAGCACTCCCGAACAGATGTGGTGATTTTGCAAAGAAAGGAGAAGCACTAGGTTAAGGCGCCCCAACTGGATCGATCGAAAAGCCCTGTCCAAAGACTTGAAGCAAAGAGGAAGAAAAATAAAGAGGCTCCGTTACCGGAGAGAAGTCTCGAAGGAAGAGGCCCACCAACTGCAAACCCTAACCAGAGGATTTTGGAGCACGGGAGAGGACAATTTATTTATTTTTTTAATTTTATAATTTAAAATAACTTTTAACTGTAAAACACATTTTTCATTTTTATACTGCAATAATTTTTTTTAAACAAAAGTAATTTTCTACAAATATTTTTACTTAATGTAACGTTTTTCATTTCTATCCTACAGTAAACTTTTTTTTTTAAAACAAAAGTAATTTTTTACAAATATTTTTATTATATCATGAAAATAAGAGAAAGTAATCCAAAAAATTAAACATCAAACTGAGGTGATGTTATCATTAAAGGGCAATAAAACACCACTTCGTGCAGGCGTGCGGAACATACGGCCATATACTTTTTTTCGGTGCATATAAGGAAGACACATTCTTTTCTAGTACTAACATGTACCTTAAGTAAAGTTCAAGGACAACCACAATTAAAACTTTAAAACTCGATTAGAATTAGTAATAATTTCAATTAATGCATATAAAAAGTAAAAGCTTATTTTACAGTTCATCCTATTAAATACTATAAGGTTAATGTCATTCATGCGAGATGACTTTTTAATATTAAATTTTTTTTTATAATCTTGATCTTATAATTTATTATATAATGAATTATAAAATATAATATTTAAAATTAAAAAATTATCTTAAAATCTATGTAACAAATTATAAAATCAAAACTTTTTAAAGGGAAAAACATCTTGATATCAGGTTTTTCTCTCGCCTTGATGGTTTTAATTTTATAATTTATTTTAAAATAAATAGTAACTTTCGATTATCCTGATTTTAGGTTCCGTCACGGGACGGATGATAAGACAGGAAATCCTATCAAAAATACAAAAAATAAAATATATAAAACACAAAACAAAAGCGGAAAGCGGAAGCTTCATGGGAAGCTTCCTGTTATCCCGTAAAAAAAAAAAAAAAAAGAAAAAGAAAAAAGCCTGAATGGCGTGATGGACTGATGCGAAGACAACTCAATGGCATGCTTGAGTCGGTACGTGGTGTCCTTCCATTCCGTGACGAAAGTGGAAATGGCGGTGGCGGTGGCGGTGGCGGAAACGGTGGTGACGGGATTCCTTCGGCGGTACCCTGCTTAACAGCACTCCCAAAGTAAGGTTTAATAACTCCTATTGGAGAAGTTTCCCGTTCACCAGACCATTCAAACCATCAGTGGACCCAAATTCAAACAAGATGTCTTGATGGGCCTTCGACCATCACTTGAAGAAGGGACCCTTCTTTTTGTGAGCCCGACAAAGGTGATTGAAGAGGGCCCAAACATTCAGCATCTGTTGAATTGAAACTCGTGCACCCAAAAACTCCACCATGCCTTGCAGGTGCCGGTGGCCAGACGTGAAGGAGACAGTGCCAACATCATAATGTTTGTAAAAGAACATAATGCTTTTGTGTTATCAGCATGTTTGTATGTAAATTTTTTTTTTTTTTTTTTGGGTAGGGTGGTATTTTAAAAACCCTTTTAGCCTTAGGTGCTTTTAAGACCATAATAGGACAAATTCATCTTAAAGTACATAAAAGTTGACTTAAAAATATTATAACTCTGAAAACTAAAAATAAAAAAAAGGAGAACTTTAAGAAAGTATTGAATTATGGATTCATATAAAATAATATAAAAATTTTAAAAATTAATAAAATTTTCAAAAATTTAAAAGCTAAGCAACGAAATCTTTATCATAGATTGAAGCTACAAAATTGTAACTTTAACTTTGGGATATATACAAAGTGAAATTAACTTTGAAAACAGTTATAAATAACAAAATCTCTATTATTAGCAGTGTCCGTGGTGCGACTTCTATCATCACCTTGCAAGCGCTCGCTTTTCACCTTCACTCACACGGCAAAACGATTCTTTAAGTCCTCAAACTTGCCTTATTTTAGCAGATATGTTCTTAAATTCAAAAAACAAGCAAATAAGCCATTAAACCATGCAATTAAAGCAAAAGTTGAATGCCAATTTTGGTCCCTCAAATCTGGATTTTTGCACAATTTTAGTCCCTCAACTTTTTATGTACTTTTCTAGTCCCTCAACTTTTTATATACTTTTTTGGTTTCTCAACTATGAAAAATATATTTTTTTAATCTTTCTGTCAATTAATCTATTAAGTATGTCTTTATATGTATATTTTAATCCTTCAACTTTTAAGTTGAGGGATGAAAATTGTAAAAAAATCTTAAAATTAAGGGACTAAAAATAAACATGTATAGATGAATTTAACGTATTAACTGATAGAAGAACTAAAAAAGTACATAAAAAAGTTGAATGGCCAAAACTATGCAAAACTCTAAAGTTGAGGGACTTAAAGCAAATTAGCTCTTTGTCAATGACTACCAAAAAAATTTGTTAATTTTAGATGATGTGGCTTTTAAAAGAAATGTCTGGTAATAATTGTTTACACCATAAATTACAAAATTTAAGATGATGCCACTTGTTATTTATTTTTGTATGGATGAACAAGATGTTGCCATGTTAGATTTGTTAGCTAGGGCCCTTGGCAAGTCACCTACCATATGGGTGATTAATTTCAAGAGGATAGTGACTATCTTTTTAATTACCAATTTGAATTGAAGTGGACTTGTAACAACTACATTTTAGGAGATAGGCATGTGGTGAGATCTTGAAGAAGTCTTGACTGAGTCCATTGCTAAGATGTTCAACTTTCTCAGGAAACCACTCACAATCTATAACCATCAGTAAGTGGGAAGTTTTAGGCCTCCATGGAACAAACAAAAGTGAATCTTATTAGCAATTACTCACTTTAACTTATATATTTCAGTTTTTAGCACAATTCCTAGTAGATTTTGGTTGTTTTTAGCATTCAAATAACCATATTAGTTCATGTAGTTTTTTTTTGCAATTTTCCTTCATGTAATAAACAACAAGCATTTCAATTTCTACAAGGTACTCTATCTAATTTTTTATTGGAGTTTGTTTAAAATTTATGATAAATAGTGTTTCCTAAAATGTTTACTTGTATGACATTCACACTTCTTCCTAGTTTTTTACATGTTAGTTTACTTTTTGTTCATGTTAGTTTAATGATCATTTAGTCTCAAGTAGTCAAGATCTGTTGATTAAGTTTCCAGTTCTATAATAGTGTAGCTTTTAGTTTTATTTATATATTGTGGTTTAATCTAACAATAAACATGCTTAGTTTAACTTGAATGCATCTTTCATTTGTAGTTTACTTTGATTTGCATTTCATTTACTTCATTTAGAATATATTAACTTTAATTCATGGTAGTGTTTAAGTTTTTAGAGCTGTTTAAGGCATACAAGTAACCCATTCTGTAAGAAAGCATCTCTTCTTCTTGCACATATCATTTGAAGGCACAAGATTCAACTTTAAATCAACGTTCTTCCAACCATCTTAATGGGAATTGACTATGTGCAAGTAAAGGGTTATTGGGAAAATCTTCTTTTCTTGCTTTATAGAAAAGCAAGTGACATGCCTCACATGCAAATTTGCTGCACATTTGTCACTTTAGGATTTTTGAAGAAATAGAATGTATGTTTATTTGAAAATCAAAGAGAGTGAATAATTTCAAATTAGTTGCTAATTTCATTTAATTGTCACCTTGATGCATTAACATCACGCGTTCTTTCCAATTGTCTCATCAGTTGATCTATTACCAATGAGCTAATTTGTTGCAATTTGTAGTTGTTAAAGGGCTCATTTGCTTGTATTTTAGTTTAGGGACCTATATGCTAAAATTGAGTAAGTTTAAAGGCTTATAGAATGGTTGTGCTCTCCAGATTCATTTCATTTCTTCTTCCCTTTTTGCTTTCCACAGCGTTAAAAGAAGTCAAGTTATTAATGCCACAAACTCACGACTAGAATCACCATCATTGAAGATTAGGATTTAGTAGTATTGTCCATTTCCCAACATGGATTTTTGCTCGGTAGTATAGGAAAGGGGAAGAAGGGATCTTTCCCTTCACGGTCGCAAATGAATGAAATCCTTAATGAATTCAATTCGAAAATTTCTCTGAGTTTGTCCAAGGCAAAACACGCAAGTAAGAACACCAACTTTGGGTAAAGTCCAATCACTCGTAATATGTTGGATTAGGCAAAAGTAGAGTTGGGCATTTGGTTCGGATTACTCAAACCAAACCAAAATTTTAGTTATTTAAAAAAATTTTGAATATGACTTTCATATCAAACCTAAATCAAATATTTGATTTGGTTATAATTTTGAATAATTAAAATTTTTTTAGATAATTTGATTAATTAACTAAAATTATCAAAATTTTTATAAACCAATATTAATGTATTGTTATTCTTTATTGTTAGTTATTAAAAGCTTTATATATATATATTTATATATTTATATATAAACACCTTCTAATATTCGAAAGTCACATTAGATTCTGTTTAATCTGAAACCAAACCGCATCAAAGTACATAAAAAAAAAAAAAGCTCTCTTTGTGCTTATTCTCTATTTACAAGACTCAGATTCAATACCTTATTTAAAGAGAATCAAATTATTTAAACCAACAAGTTGTCGGTAAAAGTCTTTTTTTTTTTTTAATTTCGATAAATTTTAATATTTTTTAAAAGAATTTTCTCTATAAATTTGACAAAAAAAAA